GTCAGATGTTACTCAGAGAACATCTATCAGGAAGGTGGAAGTGACAGCTGAGTGATTAATAACACTGGGTGTTCTTGTAGAGACCCAATATCAGTTCCAAGTACACACCTGGCAGCTCATAATTACCTGTTAACTCCACTTCTATGTGACTCAATGTCCTCTTCTTGCCTCTTTTGGCATCAGCTATACTTGTGTTACACAAATAAATGTACCATCAAAATAATCACACAGATCCCAAACTTAAAAGAAACGAAACAAAACAACTACCTTTGTTTCAGGAAACATCTCTGCAAGCTCCTTACCTGTGTGAGCATGGGGATTGGAGGTCACACAAAGTACTGTGTTTTAGTTAGGGTTTTTTATTGTCACGAGGAAACACCATGACCATGGCAACTCTTTTAAGAAAACATTTAACTGAGGGGGCTGACTTACAGATTCAGAGATGCAGGCCATTATCAGACCAGTGATGACCATGGTGGTGTAGGCAAACATGGCACTGGATCTGAGAGTGCTATATCTTTCTGGACACAGGACACACTCCCTGGTATCCTAAGCATAAGAAACCTGAAAGCCCACATTGACACACTTTCTCCAACAAAACAACATCTACTCCAACAAGGCCATACTCCAAATAGTGCAACTCCCTGTGAGATTATAAAGGCAAATTACATTCAAACTACCACGTTCCACCCCTGGGCCACCATAAACACTTTGCAATATCAGAATTCAAAATGCATTTAGTTCAACTTCAAAAATACCCATAGTCTATAACAGTCTCAAAAATGTTTAGCAGTCCAAAGTTCGAAGTCTCTTGTGATAGTCATGCAATCTCTTAACTATAAATCACCTGTAAAGATAAAAATAAAGAGCAGATCACATACTTCCAATATATGATGACACATGATATACACTAACATTCCAAAATACAAGGAGGGAAACAGTCTGAGGTAACACTGGACCTAAGCAAGATGGGACGACAGCTGAGCAAACTCTAAACTGTGTGTCTCCATGTCGGACACAAAAACACTTTCAGATCAGATATCCAATTACTTCCAGCTTTGTTGACAGTAACACACTTTTCTCTCTTGGGCTGGTTTCACTCCCTGTTAGCATCTCTCCTCAGCAGTTATCCCCTGACTTTGGCATTGATAACATCTTGGGGTCCCCAAGGCAATCCAGGCTTCAATTTCACAGTTTCATTCAATAGCCTCTATAGGTCTCCATTCAGGCACACTCCTGACACATGCCTGGTCTCAGCAGCTTTCCTGTTTCCAATCACCTATTTCCTCTATCTTTAATGCTGAAGTCAGAGAGTTGGTCAAAGCTGCCAATTTTTGCTGTTTGCTTGGGCTGAAACATGGGCCACTCATTCACTTACACTTTTGCCAGTTCTCTGCTTTTCACTTGCTAAGCTTGGCTGTTCTGAAATTTCCTCTTCAGAAACACTGGCCTCATATTCAGAGTTCTGACAGCTTCTGTCTTCCCAATGTTGTGCCAGGATTAAGATGGGTCCCACCACAGATAACTGTAAGCTTTTCTTTTGTTTCTTTCAACAAGTTGAAATTTTGCTGGGTGGGATGTTACCCCAATTTGACCACTCCCTTTATTCCATTTCTGAATCTGTTTATCTCCCTGAACACAGAACTTAAATCTAATCCACTTTCAGTGTTCTCTGTCTCCTTAAATATTACATTTTGTAATTTTCCCTGCTCAGCTTTCTCCTATTCATTATAAATCTTCTTTAGAGTTATCATTAATAACCCTACAACAGAGTCAATAGTAGGCTGTTTTGAGATTTCTACTGCCAGTAGTATCAATCCAAAACTCTTCATTTGGCCTCAGGCCGACTCTTTGGATAAAGGTAAAAAGCAGCTTCTTTGTTCACCAAAATATCACAGTAACAATCTCTAGGCAAAATATTAAAATTCTTCTCCTTAGATACCACTTGAGTGCCCCCCTCACAGTTGAAATAACTCTTAGCACCTCTGAAATCCATGCTTCCTACTTCCATGCCCCATTAGGCAGTGCTTGAAACATTCATCAGCTTTCATTACCCAAAGTACAAAATCTCTCCAAATAAACACATAGTCAGTCCTGTCACAGCAATAACCCAGTCCCTGCTACCAACTTCTGTCTTAGTTAGGGTCTTTTATTTCTGCAGAGTTGCACCATGTCCATGAAAACTCTTACAAGACAAAACTTAATTGATAACTCTTGCTTAGAGTTTCAGAGTTTCAGTCCAGTATCATCATGGCAAAGAACATGTTGCATGCAGGCAAATCTTGTACTGGAGCTGAAATTGCTACATCTTGCAGGCCATAGGAAGTTGACTGACTTCATAGGTATTGTCCTGCCCATAAGAAATCTCAAAGTTCACAGTGTCGCACTTCCTCCAATAAAACCTCACCTACACTGACAAGGCCACACATCTTAATAGTGTCTCATCTGTAGATATGGGAAGCAATTACATTCAATCCACTCCATCCTGTTGCAAGCCTGTCTGTTCCCTATACTTCAAGTGCTTGTGCTTAATCTGTACTGAGATTACCTCTCATGGTTGGGCAAGGAATTAATCAGGGTAAGGTTACAGGGAACACAGTAAGGCTGATGCTTTCCTCATTTTATTGAGATCAATCAGACTTACCATACACTTACCAGAAACAGAATATAGTGATTACTAGATCAATACAGTTGTAGTTGCCAGGAAATAATCAAGTTTTCAAGCTGTGCAGGGTACACAAGATAGATGTCTAAGACCAATTGTCATTTCAAACTATATGCTTCATTTAGTTCCAAGGGAACTTAGAGAAATGTAAAGTGGTTTGAATGATTCATTACCTAATGAAGTTCCTCTGTATCCCCATAATTGAAAGATATATAGTGCCCCAGGAGCTCTGAAATCTAACATAAAAAACTATATATGCCTGTTAAGGCATCTGTGCTGGTCTAAATACATGCACCATAACCTTCAATCTCCTATATCATTCTGATTCTCACCATTTACATTTGGAGTTCTGTAACTCAAGTCAGTCACTAACAATCAGCTGGGAAGATTGGTACATGTTATTGTATAGTCTGGGTAGTTAGCTGAATGCCAGCCCCACTCTTGGTGTCATGTGTGAACTTTCTGTACAAACATTATATTCTGAAGATGGATGGTGGGTGCTTCTCAGGAAAACTCAATGGGGTTCCTTATTTTGTCCTTTCTAGAGCATAGCCTTGAACAGCAAAGCCTTGCTTGGCACTCGTCCTGGCATAGCAGTGGAGGTCATTGCACTTGGAGGGAAAAAGAACTCCATAGTGTTAGGCAGGCAGAGGGTCAGCTAGAATCAAAGAAGACAATGGCTTTCCTAATCTAGGACCTATGAATATACCATCAAGCTCTGTAGCTCAGGTCACAAGGGTCAAAGACTGTTGCTCCCACACAGCATAGGAGGTCCACCATCTCTGAGCACTCAAGTCCTGCATGTGCCTGTGAGTCTTCATTTACTTAGCTCGCTAAGAACATGAATTGAGGACAGAGTTCAGAGAGACCAACAGTGGTTGAAAGAATACTTGGTAATTATCATATTTCCCACAGGGTGTATCTTCTGTCTGTCCTCCTCATACAACTGATAGTGTTCCCCAAGGCCAATATCACAAGCAACAAATCCAACCCTATAGAGCATGATTATGGTAGCCTTAATGCAAGAACTTGAGAGTCAGAAATTATCCTACCTGTTGAGGGTATATTGTCAAAGCCTATTAGCAGGTGAAAGGTTGAAAATGTCTGAGTGAAATAGGGTTCTGTGTGACACAACTGACGCAGATCCCTATGCATATATAATCTCGAAATAATTGACAATCAAAGTTACAATCAGCTTGAATATTACCTGTGAGTTAATTCTGTTGTATCATGGCTATAACAGCCTACATACACAAAGCTAATTTTTGGACATTCAGTCACTCCTCCATTTTGGACAGAGAACCACAAAACAGATGCCTAGGCTGGCTAGGAAACCCTGGCCTAGCCTAGAATATATAGCAAGGCCAGAGATTTAGGTACAATTGGATAGAGGGACTTCTGCGTAGAGAATCTCAGGGGGAGAGAGAAAGAGGTTTTTCATATTTAGGCTCAGTGCACCCCAGAGTGTACCCTGGGGTTGTTGATTGTGTTTTGCTGGTGATAGATTAGGGCTTTGCATCCTCTAAAAGTACTCTTTTATTGATCTGCAACATAGCTGTGGTAGGGTTCTGCTTAAGTATGATTATAGTAGATTTCAAAGAGATTCTATGGCCTTCTCTATACAAGAATTTCCCTTTCCTTATATTCTGTCATAACCTCTAACTTTAATCTTTTTGTTCCAGATGTTTCAGATGCCCTGCAATAAAATGCTGGAATTCTGCCATGAAATCCTCCTTGGAAAAAGGAGCTGTGGTTCTTTCCATTTCATACAGGTCACCTCTGGCTTCTCCTGGGTCAGAACTTTATCTTATTATATGAGTGGTAAAGGACTGCTCTTCCTCCATAGTTATCACTCAGCTGGGTCCTTTGTAGTCTCTGTGACTGTACTGTTGGAAGTAAATTCCATCTTTTTAAATCCTCCAATAATACATAGTACACTGAATGCTCACTTGGGTCTCTGGGCCACATGGACACATAGGTAGGAAAGAGCCTCCCTCATCACAACGGAAAGACCCAAGGCCAGGACATAGCATGTGTCAGCCTTGGGGTGGTATATTATCCTCTGAAGGCACCAGATATTTATCAGCCTTGTTCTATGTGTTGCTTAGAGGTGAAATATAAAGAGAGAAAACATGAAAGCTATGTGGGACGGCACTAAAAGTGTAAGGGACAGAGAAGTGTCTTTGCTAGACGGCACCACTCACAGCCTACTGCATTCTGAGAGGTTACCCTGTCTAGGTGGACACTCAGCTGAGAGAGAGAAGGACAACTGAAAATTGCAACTGTGCTGAAGCTGAATCTCTTCTTCTCAGAAGGTGGATGTCACAGTAAGAGGATGGCTTTGTCTTCTGTGCTTCTCTACAAGGGCTACACACTCTGGCAAGGATTTCTGCTCACTGGTAAGACTACCTACTCTCTGAGTGTAGAGGGAGGGAAACTCAGAAGTATTATAGAGTCTTGTAAATAGGAAAGGAGACCCAGAAAAAGATCAGGGTTTCTGTTTGCAATCATAGGGTAGAAGGTACAGTGATATTCAGTCACTTAGCAGCCGCAAGCTTTCATCAGATAGGAGGTGATGATGGAAATGAATTGTTCCCAACACTTAATATTCAAAGTCAGCCATATTGGCTGCCATTTTATGAAGTCGAATTCCCATCCATGACTGGTTACTCTCCAAACACAAATCAAAGAGGGGTGGGCCAGGGAGATTGTTCAGTGTCCTGATATACAACCTAAATTTAGTCCTCAACTCCCATATAGTAGATTGAAAGAAGAGACTCCTAAAAGATCAACCTTGCCCTCCAGACAGGAGCTGGCATATGCGCTTGCAGATGTGCACACTGGGTCATGTGCCTCTACACAAACAAAATTGCATGGACTGGCACATGTGTGTTAGGGCACGTCCTTCCCAAATCCTCTCATGTAATACATAAGTAAATGCGAGATCATCAAATCACACTTGAGTACAATTATTGTCATCATTTCTAAACCTGAAAAGTATGGAGATAAATCCAGGTCACAGTCCTGCTTTGCTCATTTCAGCCTCCCTACCTCCCTCCATCCATCCATCCCTCCCTCCTTCCTTCCTTCTTTTCCTTCCTCGCTGTTGTATGTCTTTTTCAAGAACTAAACCTTCCTGAGAGTTCAAGTCCTCACAAAACCTTGGTTAAAATGGAGTAGAAATCAGATTATCTGGGACTTGAAGACTCAGGTTGTCTAGAAACACAAAGGGAAAAGGGAAAAGTCAGAAAATAAGGACACTCTAGAGGAGGATGTCAGAGAAGCATGGTGCCCCACACCAAACACTCCATGTGAGGAGGGATATCGGGACACTGTGCGGGGAGTCAGGAAGACACTGAAGCAAAGAACCTCATAGAGAGGAAAGGACACAGTTAAAGACTTTAAAGGAGTGGAAGCCATCTTCTTCAGCTCCATCAAGGGGGTAAATACATATCTACCCTTACACCTAAACTGAGTAATGAACACACTGAGCAATGTTGATTCTTTTTCTCTCTTGATGTCTAGCCTCCCTTCTAACCTGCTGGCATCTGTCCACCACTGCCAAAGTCACCATTGAGTCAGTGCCATCTCCAGTGATTGAAGGGGAAAACGTTCTTCTAAGTGCCAAAAATCTGCCAAACAATCTTGTAGCTTTTGCCTGGTTCAAAACCGTGAAGACAATGAGGCGTGGAATTGCACTATATTCTCTGACCACTAATGTAAGTGCGGCAGGGCCTCAATACAGTGGCAGAGAAACTTTGTTTAGCAATGGATCCCTGTGGCTCACAAATGTCACCCCGAAGGACAAAGGATTCTATACCCTAAGGACAATACATAAAAGTGGAAAAATTGTATCTACAACAAGGATGTACCTCCATGTGTACAGTAAGTAATTCTTTGTGAACTCTGGGTTCTGGATGGGCTAAACCCAAAACATCAAACCTACCCTGTAACTATATCTCCTCTGCATTGTGTTCTCATGTTGGAGTTAGAGCATTTGGTGCAGGACACTCATAGTGGAGAATAACTTCAATAAACCAGGTTTTCATTTGACGTTTCCTTGCAGGCAGCTGGATGTGTACTGGGTAACTCAGCCTAGGGTATCAAACACTGTCTAGACCATTGGGATTCTGGAAAATAATGTATCTTTGAGAAAGTCTCCAAGGGACACAGAGTGGGCCTAGTTGAAAATGCAGTGGGATTCTCACAGAAAGGTGATCCACAGGAATCTCTGGTTGACATCCTCTGTCCCAGACTCAATACCAGGTATTCCTGAGAAAAATTTTACTAGGGATACATTTTTACTCCCTGGTGTCAGGGAAATGTTCTTTTTGACAGTTGAAATCTGGTGATATGTGTAAGCAGCTAGTTCACTGTCATGAAAGCCACGTTAATTCAAGATCTCAGACATCTCCAGAGACTCAGCTGGAATAACAGAGTTCAACAGATGCCCAGGCAATTAAATAAACGTTATGATGTGCTTATGAAATTACCAGGAAGGTCATAGCTGCCAAGGAGAGGGACAGGGGATGCAGGTCCTCCTGACAAGTTCTTGTTCTCTGGGATCCAGCTTAGGAAATTCTCCCCTGGAAACAAATGTCTAGAGCCTCTGCTGACATCAACAGTTCCCCAAATACGAGCTGCAGTTCCACCAGTGCTTATAAGGGATGGCAGCAAGATGCAGAATCAACATTCAGAAAAGCATTAACCTAAACCAGGAACTTACATTTTATTCTGGCCTTTACTTCTGTCACTACAGATTTGAAAGTCAAGGACACTGTTTTCTCAGACCTACTGTCTGCTTCCTGTAACTACTGTATTGATGTTAAGTTCTCCATTTTTGTAGTGTCTTTGGGAAAGATAGCACAGGGAAAGATAATCTAGGGGAATCACCTAGACTAAAGTCTAATGGAACACAGAAACCCCAGGACAGACACATAACACAGGTTAGTAAGCAGAGGAAATGGGAACATTGTATTGTACCTCTGCATGGACGGTAGAATCCACACCATCTTCCTATGACTCAGGTCTCCTATTCCCACTCAACCAGGATTTGAGACTCCTGACACATCTGCTCCTGGACCTTTGTCCTGAATCTGAATCATGACTAGTGATTGCAGTGAGAATAGTTTTGTCCCTTTCCTGTGTATCATGCAGCTGGTCCCTTTGGAGCCCTCACAGACATTTCTGTCCCCTTTCTGCAGAGGGTATATTCCATCTTTAAAGAACATTGAAATCAGAGGGTAGACTGTGGTAGCTTTCACAGGAAATGCAGAGATTCCCTCTTTGGTACTGACAGACCAAGGCCAGGACATAGTAGATGTTAGCTCTAGATTATACAACTGTTCTCTTAAGACATAGGAATACTCATTAGCCTAGTTCACAGTGAGTCCCAGAGGAATAAAACACAAGGACAGAAGAGAGGGCAGGGCAGTGTTTTGAACACAGACTCACCTACAGCCCATGACACTCCTGGAGGTACTCCTTCCTAGGAAGATGCTTGGCTCAGATGGGGGAAGGACAGCAGAGTTTAGGACCTGTTCTGGAGCCGAAGAACTGCAGAAAGAGGACACATAGTGCCACAGAGACCAAGGATAAATAATCTGTATCCCTCTGCAAACTGCACACTACCTCTCATGGGCTCATTCCCAAACCTGAGAACTCACAGAGATAGTGTTTGAGAGTGTAGAGGACTGACTTACTATCTGGAGTTTCCTAAAAGGGACAGGGACCAGAAAGGAGTCTTGAGTTTTGGAGGAGACAAGACAAGTGTCTGAAAGTTGCTCAGCAGCAGGAAGTTCTCAGTGAATAAGACATGGTAAATGAATGGGGAGAGATTGATCCTATCCAAAGTTATACACTATGACCACAGCATTCTAAAGACTGATGTTCTCAGTTATGGCTTCCCAAAGGAAAAAATCAAGCTGATGTTGATCAGTGGCATGGCTTATTGGATATAGGTATTTACTTCATTTTCTGATGAACTCAGAAGCAAGGAAAACAGGTTTTTCTCTGAAGGCCAATTGAGTACTGTGTCCCGCACCCATGCCCCTCACTGAGACATGCCTTGCACACAAACTCTGACTCAAATGTAATTTCTAAATAAGTTTCCAAAAGCAAAGCAAGTGAAACAAAAATTCACTGTATATTCCAATCCATAGCCATACAGGCTCCAAGGACATTATTCATTTTTTGATTCTCTACAGTTATCTGAGATTTTTTTCCAGGCAGCCTTTTCTTTTATAAGTATAAGACAAATTCCTATAAGGCCCTAGTTCAAGTGGACTTGAAGTCACAATGCAGCTACAATGTGAAGTAGGGTGTTGACTGGGACCACAAGAAAAACAAAACAGCAATAAAAGTCAGAGACTGAAGACAGAGGCATGGAAGGATAGAGGTTGGGCAGGCATCACCCCAACAACCTTCTACAATCAATGAGAGCAGGGGTCAATGGGCAATGAGCCTGCCATATAGGAGAGAGTGCCATATAGTGAAAATGACTATTTTGGGGATACTGATAACATGGAAATCATGTGCTGATCTCCACCAAGTAGGAAAGGGAGACACTTTCCCAAACACCTAGACTGAGAAATGAACACTGCTGCTCAGTACAGAGGGTCCCAATATTGATGGATCTCTCTCTTCTCTTCCAGGCTTCCTTTTCACCTGTGGGCGCCCTCATCCTTTTGCCCCGCCTACTATTGAATTAGTGCCACCCAATGTTACTGAAGGGGAAAATGTTCTTTTACTTGTTCACAATCTTCCAATGAATCTTCAAGCTCTTTTCTGGTACAAAGGGCTGGCTGTGCTCAAGGAGTTTGAAATTGCCCAACATATAAGAGCCATAGATTCAAGTGTGCAAGGGCCTGCACACAGTGGTAGAGAAGCATTGTTCAGGAATGGATCCCTGATGTTCTACAACGTCCTCTGGAAAGACAACGGATTCTATACCCTACGAACTCTGACTACAGATCTGAAAACGCAAGTAGCACACGTGCAGCTCCAGGTGGACAGTAAGTGATCCTCTATCGTTGTTCAGTGCTGGGTGCAGCTCACACACACAGGACTGTCATGCCTGGCATCTATCTGCCTACCTCCTCTCTCTGCTGTGTCCCTGTGTTGGGAATTGAGCAGTCAGTGCAGGACACCTAAGGTAGAGACAAACTGTCACAGATCACACTCTGTAGTGTGACTCCACCCTGTATCAAGGAAGACATTGATGGAAAGCGATTCAGCATAAGATGTCAGATAATGTCTAGTACCTTGGGTTTATATCTGTGTATGTGAGGAAATGATGGCATCCTCAAAGAGAGGTGAGCCCAAGAAATCCATGGTCCCTATTATATGTTCCAGGCTTTACTACACATATCCCTGTAGATTATTTGTCCAGGACTCAATTCTTATTTCTCATAGCTAACATGGACTAGTGCTTTTTGGCTATCTATACAAACCTGGAGTAAGTTATCTCCAAATTGAGAGTGTCCTAAATAAAGTCCAGGAACTGGTGCAGAGAACAAGGAGGAGTGCTGGTTAGTAACTTGATCCTCATGGCTTGGTCATCCTGCTTCCTTTCATTACCCAAGACTAATAACTCAGGGATGGAACTGCAGGCAGTGAGACAGACTCTCCCAGACTAAATTCTAATTAAAAATATACAGTATATACTACAGCCTTGTTCACAGGCCAATTCGACAGTAGCATTTCTAATTGAGTATCCCTCTTTAAAAAAGACACTTACTTGTGTCCAGTTGACATGAAGCCAGCCATCCTAGTATCTGAGACTTTTCTATGACCTGAGCCTAACAAGAAGACCAGGCTTCTCCTGACTTCACCCAGCCTAGTATAGTGGGATTCAGAGCAAAGCACAAAGCACATCTAGTAACTGATGTCAGCGCATGACTGGAGCCATAACACACTGGAAAAGAAAGGTCTGTAGAGTTGAGTGGAGGCATTATCTAAAATTGCACTGTTCATGAGTGTGATGAGTGTGTACAGTGCCTGATTGAAGGCATTTAGACAACCACAGAGGGAGTTCCTTGCAGAGGAAATGACACATCCATAAGCACTGAGAGAATGGAGGTTGTGTTTCTGACCTCTACATTGAAGGATAGACAGACCCACACCTTTATCTCTAGTCTGAGGGATGAATCCATCTGTTCAGCACAGAGGTTGCCATCTTCCCACCAACCCAATCTTCTTCAACTGATGACTTTTTTTTCTCTTCCAGCCACACTTTCTACATGTTGTAGAGATCTCACCTCTGCCCAAGTCACAATTGAATCAATGCCTCGCTATGTTGCTGAAGGGGGAAGTGTTCTTCTCTTAGTTCATAATCTGCCAGAAGATCTTCGAGGGTTTTCCTGGTATAAATCTTTGAACAGCACAGATGACTTTAAAATTGCAGAATACAGCAGGGACATAAGTTTCACCGTCTGGGGGCTTGCACATAGCCAAAGAGACACGGTGTACACCAATGGATCCCTGCTTCTCCAAGATGTCACTAATAAAGATGCAGGATGGTACATGCTAGAAACTTTCAACAGAGACTGGGAAATTGAAAAAGCATATGTACAACTCCATGTAAACAGTAAGTGACCCTTTATGGCTTCCAGATGTTGGTTGTGGCTATCCTGTTTCATACACTGAACTTTCAGGACTGGGGTGTGCATGCTGTTTCCCTCGCCATCGTGTGCACACACTGGGGTTTGGGCACTTACTGAAAGAGAGAGGGTAGACAAAGTGAAACAGATCAGAGCCCTTCACCTTAGTCTCCACCTGCCGAGAGAAGAATGTGTACTAATACCTCAGTACAAGAATTTCAGCCTTAGTGTAGACACTTGAAGCTCTCACCTTGCCCACGACACTAACGGAGACTGTGGGATTCATGCATGTACTGGATGAGGAAGTCATGGGGTCCTTATAGAGAGTACCAGGAAGTCCTTGTTCGAAAACTTTGTCCCCGGCTTTTACACTGGGGAGATGACACTGGGGAGATTTTGTCAATATTTGGCCTTAATTTCGTGTTTTTGATTACTGACAGTCCAAATCCTATTTAGTGTGAAGCCAACTGTGCAATGACCTGGGAGCTGAAGTTAGATAGGTCACATGGTCATTTCCTTCTTCTGAAGGAAAATGTTCAAGTTCCTGAACCAGTAGCCAATTATTCTGATGGGTTTGTGACATTTCACAGGAATATCAATGTCCTGAAAAGTAGAAACAGAGGAAACAGTTATCCCATGCTCTTCCTTGTTCTTAGGGGTCAAACCTGGGTAAGTCTGTTCTTTGGGCAAATAATAACAGATGCTGTTAATTTGACCAGCTCCCCCATCCCATGGTCAGGTCATTGCTCATAACTAAGCCTAACTCACAGAAGCAGTGATCAATTTCAGTGTGTCTAATTAAAGCAAAATTGAGATATAGCACACTCAGTGTGTGAAGGTACAACTCCATGTAAACAGTAAGTGACCCTTTATGGCTTCCAGATGTTGAGTGTGGCTATCCTGCTTCATACACTGAACTTTCAGGACTTGGGTGTGCATGCTGTTTCCCTCACCATTGTGTCCACACACTGGGGTTTGGGCACTTACTGAAAGAGAGAGGGTAGACAAAGTGAAACAGATCAGAGCCCTTCACCTTAGTCTCCACCTGCCGAGAGAAGAATGTGTACTAATACCTCAGTACAAGAATTTCAGCCTTAGTGTAGACACTTGAAGCTCTCACCTTGCCCACGACACTAACGGAGACTGTGGGATTCATGCATGTACTGGATGAGGAAGTCATGGGGTCCTTATAGAGAGTACCAGGAAGTCCTTGTTCAAAAACTTTGTCCCCGGCTTTTATCAAGATGACACTGGGGAGATTTTGTCAATATTTGGCCTTAATTTTGTGTTTTTGATGATAAAGAACAAGTCTTTACTGACAGTCCAAGTCCCATAGAATGTGAAGCCAACTGTACCTTGACATGGGAGCTGAAGTTAGATAGGTCACATGGTCATTGCCTTCTTCTGAATGAAAATGTTCAAGTTCCTGAACCATTAGCCAATTATTCTGAGAGGTTTGTGAGACTTCACAGGAATATCAATGTCCTGAAAAGTAGAAACAGTGGAAACAGTTATTCCATGCTCCCCCCTTGTTCTTAGGGGTCAAACCTAGTTAATTATCTTCTTTGGGCAAATAATAACAGATGCTGTTAATTTGACCAGCTCCCCCATCCCACGGTCAGGTCACTGCTCATAACTAAGCCTAACTCACAGAAGCAGTGATCATTTACAGTGTGTCTAATTAAAGGGAAATACACACTCTCAGTGTGTGAATCAGGGTCAAAATGCAAGCTATATGTATAGTCTCAGGTCCATCTTCTCCCTCTAGGAGGCTTTATTAAGTGTGAAGTCCTAGAGGGGTGGTTGAGCTCACTGAATGACCACTGTCATGTGGTTCCCTCTCTTTTTCCACAGAGCCTGTGACACAGCCCTTCGTGCGACTCTCTGACACCACAGTCACAGTACAAAGCTCTGTGGTCCTCACATGCTTCTCAGCTGACCCTGGAATCTCCACCCGTTGGATCCTCAATTACAAGAGTCTCCAGCTCACAGAGAGAATGAAGCTGTCCCCGACAAAGTGTCAACTCACTATAGATCCTGTCAGGAGAGAGGATGCTGGAGAGTATCAATGTGAGGTCTCCAACCCAGTCAGTTCAAAGACGAGTCTTCCAGTCAGGCTTACTGTGAGGAAAAAATGACTTCTTTCCTCTCATACTATAGCAGAGTGGGGAACTTCCTCATCAAAGGGATACAAAGTGGAGCAAAAGTTAAGTCGTAAAAATTGTGAGCTACCATTCCGGAACAACCGTATGATGATTCATGCTTATTCTCTTGTGATGAGTGTACACATGGATAGGTCAGGATTTAAAGTGAGACTCATATCCCAAAGAAAATTAAGATGTCAATATAGTCAACATAATTGTAAAGAGGTTAAGAGCATAGCTTTTGGATCAAATATATATCCAATCCTCAGAATCCGTGGAAACTAACTTCAGGCATCCCAAACTTCTGGATGCCATGGTTCCCTTGTTAAAGTGGTGCAGTATTTGCCTAGAGATTAACATTCTCTCATGTGCTTTCCTTCTTGATCCTCATGGTTTTCTTAGTTGTTGTTTCTTTGTAAAGCCCAGGACCACCTCCCTAGAAATGGCAACACCCACAGTGTGCTGGGCCATCACACATCTATCAATAACCAATGAAGCACTCCATAGACATACGTGCTGGGATCCAGACACAGCCTGGGTTCAGGTCCTTAGCAGGGAAGGGTTATTGGCACAAAGAAATGAATTGTCCAACCACCACATGAGTCTCTCACATGTGGTCAACCCTGAATAGAACTATCCACCTTTATTTATACATCAAAAAACAAGAATATTTTCCCCATACCAACAAACAAGTTTTTCCCATCCTCCAACATTAATATCTGGAAAAACCAAATATGTCAAATACGTTTTTCCCAACTTTTACATCAAAAAATCTTTGAAACCAAAACAACATTTATCTTGCTAGCTTGGCCAAATCCTGAGCCAAATACATCTTGTTACAAGATTAAATGTGATAATCAGACACATATTTTACAGAACAATACACTTTAAAACGTATTTAGAGAAATAAGTGTGATTTGCCTCAGATCCTATCAGTATTGAATTATAACAGGTCTAGAAGTGATAGCTGGCATCCCGAGTGAAAACACCTGAGAAACAACAGCTTCTGAAGAATGTTAGGGCAAAATAATTGAGAAAAATGGGGTTTCCAAGAGTGACCACATCTGCCCCATGCATGATTGACAAAATGACACTAAACTCACCAATATTACAAGAGAAAAGACAACATGCAGGCTGAACAGTCCCAGCAGTATTCTGCTCTAGCCCTAAGTATACGGGTCCTTGCTGAGTGAAAATGTCCCCC